AGCAGGAATTGGACTAGTCGACGTTATGCCACTAATATCTGTAGTAGGTTCACCAAAATCGCCAAGCAAGTCGGATGAAAACGGTCCAGTCGTTTGAGTAGAGGGCATAGTAATTTCGCTAGTTGCAAACAGAGATTGTGTACTGGGTGTTTGCATGGATGTCGAAAATGGTGTAGACATGGTATCGGTAGTACTAATCGGTGGAAGAGAAGATGTTTTTGTACCAAAGGACAAAAGAGATTCTGTGTTGAAATCTAAGTCACTGTCACTGCCAACAATCCCTGTCGTAGAAGAGATGGAAAGTCTCTTTTCGCTAGACACAGATGCATTTTCCGTGTAGTCTTGATCTGTAATACTGACAAATGGATTGTCTTGAGTTGCAGCGCTAATTGGAGCCAGCCCTGTCACCAAACTAGTGGTGTCTTTCGTGGTCATCGAGGTGGAGAAGATAGTACTGGTGGTCGTTTCTGTATTGGGGGCATCGAAGAGATCCATAATGTCTTGATTCTTCGGTGGTTCTACCACTTTGCTATCGTCGGATAATAAGTCTGGAACATTCGAGTCGACATCCAGGAAATCTGCGAAACTGTGTTCCGGAGTAGGAGACGGAGAGTGCATTAACGTGGGACTGGGTGTCCTGGTTGCCTGTAACCAACAGAGAAATAGATGAAATCAACGATTCAAACGAAAGAAAGAAAGAAATAATCTGACTTGATTTATCGTTAACTCTAATACAAACCTGTAATCGATCCAAAAGATGATTCGAGGTAGCATCCAAGGCGCCAGTCACGGATAGGATCAAGTCTTTAGTGTTTTTAGGAGGTGCTGGAGGTTGAGGCCTCGGCGGAGGCGGCCTCGATGGCGCCGTTTTCCCATTCTTTGGCTGAGCAGGACTTGTTGCCGCTGCTGGTGTAGGAGGAGGTGCAGATTGACCAAATAGTTCGTCCGACGATTGAGAAGAAAGCGAAGCATCGAAAAGGTTTGTGCTCGGCTTACTACCGCTCGTCACGAATATATTTGTCGATTGGGTAGAGAAGATATTAGCTGCAGTAGTATCGGTGGTTGTCGTTTCGGAGTCGGTACTAGGCGCAGTTTCCTCGGTCTCGGCGGCAAAGGCGGCAAAGGGGTTTGTCGAGTCAACAGGGACGTTCGACTGGTACGTTTGGTCTCCTCCGAAATTCAAGAAAGGGTTTTCTCCTCCACCAGCTGCTTCCGTATCTCCGAAATCTTGAAGAAACGGATTGGACGCCTGTCCAGGTATCTTGTCATTGGACTCGACTTCGTAGTAGTCGTCCATCAAGAAAGGGTTTCCTCCTTTGGAATCCATGTTGATAGATGAGTTTAATTGACTAGCTTAAACGTTATTCAAAATGCTACTTCTGTATGAAATTGTAGGAAGAGTTAGTAGAGAGTCTTTTAGACGATAAAGAACCGAAAGGAGGCAACTATTTTTCCATCAATTCGGATTCGAGTAACTTTAATTCAGTCCTTCCAGGTCCTACGCTGGCGAAACTAGTATCAAATGGATCGACGTCGTCTCCTAAACTGAAGCTCTCGTTCTGCAATGGAGTCAACACCTTTGCTCCAGGATCTTGGTCGTCGATACACAGGAAATCCGTCGACTCCTTCTTCTCCTCTGCCCTAGGATCAAAATCAGGATCAGTTTCTGGGACTGTGGTCTTAATGATCGCTGTCAAAGCGATAGAGACTGGACGAACGGGTATTTCTCCAGGAATCTGTTCCAACTCGCTTTCCAGTATCTTCAGCTCAGCCTTGCCAGGAAGGATATTAGTGGCGATGGATGTATCAAAGGGATCGTCGTAAGAAATCTCCTCCTTTTCCTCGATTATCTTTGTTTCGATCTTAGGTGTCAGGGGCCTCGCATCCACTTCGATTTTTTCGTCCAACAAACTCTGTTGTATCTCTTGTAGCTTCGGTTGATTCTGTTCCTCAAATTTCTGCAACACCGAATCCTGCAGCGCGTTGATCTTCAAGTTGTTTGGTCTGATAGAACTGGCGGTGAAGTCGCTTTGCCTTCTGACCGGTTCTCCTTCGGCACGAGGATCAAAATCGTGGTCACTCAGGCTATGAGGTAATTTCGACTCCTGATTTAGCAGTTCTGATTCGATTAGCTTCAGTTCTGTCTTACCCGGGGCTACCTTGGCTACAAAGCTGGTGTCGAAGGGATCGACATCGACCTCTTCCTCTTGTATAGGTAGTAAATCCTCGATCGATTTCTCCGAGTAGTACGGAGTTAGCGGTTTCGAAGGTAACGCTTTTTCCTCGTCAGTGGTCGTGAGTAAATCTGGCCGCTTAGATGGTGTCGGTAACTCGAAGGCAACCGCTTTAGAGGGTGCTAGTTCAAGTGCTTCCGGTCTCGATGATCTTCGTCCCTGGTCGGGAAGCTCACTGACGTCCTCTTCCTCTTCGAAGCTGATCTGGAAAGTAGGTTTAATGGGTACTGTTGGAAGGGCTGGCCTTGGTGGAGCCTTTGATAAGGTGGTTTCAGTTGGTACTACAGCCTGTTCGTCTTTTCTCGGATCAAAATCGTCGTCGTCTAAAGAACTCGATAGCTTTGGTTGCTCACCAAGCAGCTCCTTCTCCAAGAACTTCAACTCTGTCTTTCCAGGTGGAATATCTTGAACAGTTGAAGTGTCGAACGGATCTACGTAGCTGATATCCTCCACTGGGGCTATAGGCTCGTCTGCAAGTTTACTCAGATCAGTCGTGGATCCTCCTAAAAGGTCTTTCTTTCCATGCAAACCGCTAGTTTTTGCACCATTTTCTTCTTTCAATAAGCCCGTCTCGTAGTCTCTATTCAATCCAGCAGGGTCGGTCAATGATATCGTAACTTCGGATATCGGAAGTTCCTCTAATTCCTTCTCTATAAATTTCAATTCTGTCTTACCAGGAAGGATATTGTCAGCAAATGTAGTGTCGAAGGGATCTTCCTCGTCAACGTAGGTGGCTGTTTCGAAGCTAGCTTCTATTATCTCGGTCTGAAAGTCTACAGCCTCGGGTTCCTTACTTCCAAAGGGATCATCGGCTTCTTCGAGACGTACCGGCTCATCTGATGGAGCTGTGAGATCGAATTCCGCGTCGTCCAAGTCAGGGATTTCGTCTAGAATAGTCTTTTCTTTTAGAATTTCAAACTCGGAGATATCCAAATGTCCATTCGTCGATTTGCCCTCTGCAGCGTTATTATTATCTTGATTGGCAGCTGGACTGACAGGTCTGGGTAGAACAGGTGGAAGCTTCGTTAAATCTACAGGAATATCCGGAAAATCGCTGTCGTCGTCGAGCAAGGTCTTTTGTACTTCGACTGGCTCTGAAACTGCATCGCTACCACCTTCCACGAGTTTCTCAACCTCCTCGAAATCATCTAACAATAAATCCTGTTGCAGTCTGGGACGTCTGCCCTTCGAGATCTTACAGGAACTCACGTAATCGATTCTACCAGAAAGTACCTCGACCGCGTTCCCTAAACTGACTAGCCTATTCCCCTTCTTGTCAACTGTCTTCAGTACCTTATCCGCGTTGGTGGTGTCGAATGGATCGTCTTCAGTTTGCTCCTCAGTGGGACTGTCAGGAATGTAAGCTAATTGAACGTCGATATTCTGCAAAACGTCAACATAGGTAGTATCGAAGATGTCTTCATCAGCAGAGCCCTCGTGCTCATCTTCGTCGTCCGGTACATCCACGAAACCGTCCTCGTTGACCAGAGACTTCTCCTCCTTCTTTACCTTCCCTTCAAAATCTGGTGCCTCTTCCTCGATGGGATTGCCGTCCTCGTCGAAACCCACCCACTTCTTCGAGGAAGCTTTCTTGCCAAGATCGTCCTGGTCCTCTTCCTCCTCCTCCTCTTTCTTATCCTCCTTCAACGGCGGTTTCCGTTGGAAGAACGAGGTCGACTTAATACGATCGAGGTCCCCCTGAGTTTTCTTGAGTATCGAGTCGACGCCAGCGGTCAACGCCTCGAACTTCTTCCACTCGTCAGAGCTGGCGTTGCTGGCCTGCTCGCCGGATTCCTCGGCTTTCTGCTGGGCCTCCGCCCGCTCGCGCCTATATCGCTCGAGCTCCTCCGGGTCGAACTCGTTCTCCTCTGCTCCCTTCTTACCCTTCTTCGGCTTTTTCTTCTTCTTCAGGCCCTTGGCTAGCTTGTGCATCCTCTAAGTGCTACCGTGATACAAGCGAGGCCTCTGCAATCAATTGAATCCCTCGATTAAACTTTCAGATCTTACACTGTTCGAACTTTAAAAAATACATCGTTCTCGGGGAAAGGTGAAAGGGTCTAGTACTTTAGCGATCGAACCAAAGTGTCGAGGACAAATCGATCGAATAATCGAGTCGTGCTAGGAGGTGCTAGTGAGACCTAAGTAATTCCTACGAAACGACGTGGATCTATGCGATTAGGTCAAGTGCATATTTCGCGATTACGTGCAACGCTAGACCATCTCTAGGAAACAAGGCTGTGCAAGATTACACGCTACTCTGGAATACCATTGACCTTTCGCCCAATGGTCAACGCGATACCGAAGCTCCATGCGTAAGGCGTGCGATATTGGTGACATGCATGCGCTGGTGAACGAAACGACAGCACCCACGTTCAACGCTACTTTGTCCAATCCTCGAATACTTGTTGCACACTACCGATCTTTATTTAGCCGGTCGCTCTTTATAACCGCAGCGCTAATTTCGTCTGGTCCTTTTTTAACGCGTGCACGCCGCGAGTCACGCTGTTCTACGCGGTCGTCCATTTTTCTGAGTCGATATCTCGAACCATGTAGCCAGCCTCGCCCCAGAAACGAATCGCTCGTCTAATGACCTGGAACGATTCGACTATGGGCGGAATCGCGACGAAAATGTAATGGAAAAACGAAGGTCATCCCGTTTCACAGAGAACAAAGCGGTTGTTATCTAGAATGTTTTGTATCGGCTCGATACAAATCTTTGCTATGGACGGTCGTGTTCGCGTTATGGGATCGTTGCCAGAACAGCCCGATCGATTGCAGTACCGTACACCCGTGACCATTCTGCCCTTCTTCCTGGCCTTTCACGATGCTCTCTCGATAATCGTGGAATCGCTAAGAAAATTTCCTTTTTCTGTGCCTCTTTCGCCATTGGTCGCTGAATTTTAGGCTGGCCTGCCTACATTAGAGGTTCACGGTAAGAATGATATGTTCCCAGCAAGTGAAACAAGGTTGTGCAATACCTAAACGTTTCTTCTAGACTGACTGTACTCTGACAGACATGTCGTTGATAAGAAGCTTAAGGTCTTATGCGATGCAGCATATTTAGCATATTAATCCGTCACGAATTTCATTAACACCAACGTAGGTACCATCACCTCTCACGACAACCATATTCAACTCCATCTGTACCAATTATGCTTTCCGGAACGCGAAAACAACTGTTGGAATGACTATGCGAATAACAGCAAATCGGCACCGTGAAAGGTCTAAAGGTCGACGAGTGAGCAACGACGTAAAAGGATTGTTGGAGTGTACGAAAGAGAATTTCGTCGATAATTAGGGGGACAGGGGAGAAACACGTGCTCCAGATTACTGGCAGGGTGGTCGTGTCGAGGCTGGTGTGCTAACAAACTAGTCTATCGTAGCTCACCCCAACGCTCCATTATAACCGATATCGTCACCAGTACACCTGCATATACACCAGGAAGCTGTGATCGATAACTGCTGAGGAATTGGACGTATCTTTGGCAATCTCGCTTACAGCCACTGTTCTATTTCTATGACTCTACGCATATTTTTCCATATTTTTCCTTCTTCGATGGAACGGAGTGGATGAAAGAGCGTTATCAACGAGAGATGAGCGTTGCTGAAGAACAGGATATTAGCAATGCGATGATTTAAGAATATTCCAGAAGCTTTCCTCTTTTCAATGTAGATGTTCGAACAAGATTTGTTCAATGCCAAAAATTCTTCGCGTTGATCTCTTATCATATCGGAAGAACCTTTCATCGGGCGTCAAAGTCGAAGGTAAGACGTTGGAATATATATACGCAGGATGGTATCGATGACGATGCCTGACGCGATAAGGTGTATTCTTATCTCCGGTATCCAGATAATTAAATTTGGCTCCAACCGCGTCACCGGGTGAATAGAGATTATCGACCGGTTGGCTCATGCCTCTGCACACGGAGTCGAGACCGACACTTGTTACTAGTTAATTACTATCCTCTTTCGAACCAACGTCACCGATCTGTTTACACCAAGAAGTTCTTACTACGAGTATCGTTGATTAAAATATTTACGTGTTTAGGAAAAGAACAGATTTCAAACAGATTCTCCTTTTCTTCCTCGAAGAAATCCTACTGTACAACGAGGAGCAATTTCACGGCGAGTTACTGGTTGGAAAATTGAAGAAAAGCGTCGAGTAATGCGAGGTCACGAAACCCAGTACAGAAGAAAAATGGCGCGCGTGCCGACTTATATTTAGAAAATCCAAACCCCATATGAAATCCTGCAGCGCACCGTTTCGATGCTCGTGTTTTGTACGTGCTCTAAACAAAGATACTCTACTTCTCGAGCGATACAAAAATATCCTACGCGAGAAAATTGTTCCGAGTAATATCAAAAATAAAGGAAAAAGAAAGTTAAAAATTTCGGATGGATCAAGTTGAGAAAGCAATTGCGTCTACCCAAAGTCTAGCGTAGCGAAGAAGAGCCAAACTGACATTGCTCGAGCAGCGAGGAATATTGAAAATCGTTTGAAAACAATTCAAACACGAGATCTATGTTTATACTCGTCGCTTTGCCCGAATTTATGACGTAATTCAGAAAGTTTCGACGAAGAGCGTTGCTCCAATATCCCGAACACTTGTCCACCGGATTCCTGTGAGGGCGCACGCGTAATACCGGAACAGACGATGATCTATACCCGACCAGCTTTGCACCTGTCACTTCTTACAGCAACGATAATTCGGAATCGTTCGATTCCGAATCGCTTATCCGTTCTATAGCACGCGTCCATCGTCGAAACTCCATCCTGAAACGGAGAATTCGTTTAAAAAGGAACATAACTCGAACGCTGAACGAGTGCCGGGATTATGAGTCTGATACATAATTGAGGGTGCACGTAGCCGAGGGTAAATTCGCGGAGGAAGATTGAAAGGAGTAAAAAGCGAGGCGTATCGATCAAGCCAAGTTCTCAATGGACAGTTTCATTATCGTCTTAACAACGATCATTGCTGCCTCAAAGTTACCCAACGAAGCTGCAATGAGTCTGACTAGAATAATACTAGAATAATACCTCTGTTCAGTGTCTTTTGCGCGAGATCTTTCTAAATCCGAGTCCACTGAAGCTACTCTACGTACCTTTCGGTTACGTCACTTTGTTTCTCTAGATATCGCTACGTCTAAGGCTATGACATAGACTTTGCGTTCAATCGATTCTACGATAATGCAACGGATTCGGGAACGACCAAGACACTCGAGGTTATCCGCTATCGAAAGAAATTTCCCTCGAGGATTTCGTGCAGTTAAGAATTTTCTGAAGGAAACTCTAGAAGCATCCGGGGAAACCGTAGAAACAAGGTAGCCAGGATGCGAAGGAACGAACGAGAGACATGTCTCCCCCTTCCTCCATGGAAGAGGAGGAACGTGTCGAAGATTGGGCGCAGGATCGGTTATGGTGAACTGTAGTTTCTCAGGTGAATCAATCGAAGGCAGACGAAAGCGTAGGTGTTGTGCCACGGCGGCCACGTTTTGCTTCTAGTGTTCGGGACACTATCGTTCGCCTACGTTCCGTAGAATGCCAGGCTTCGGCTCGATACTCGTTATTGTACTTACGATTCCAGCCTCGTCAGCCACCTCGATATGACGCACATTTTTTTCGAGTCATCCCGCGATCGAGATACACTCGTTTCTGTCTAACTGTCTGTCTGCGTGTTTCTTTCTCTCGGTTGCGGCAGCGATGGTTGAATCGTCGAAGCACACACTCGGAGGAACGAGCACCGGAAGGAAGAAAAAACAGAAGAAGAAATAGACGGACAAAATTCAGATATCGTGTGCCAGATAAAGTGTACGTGAGAGAGAGAGAGAGAGAGAGAGTCCGGTGGAGACTCTTGAGGAGAGGAAGAACGAGGTCGAGATGGAAACCGACGGATAACGTTGTCGGAGGGAAGCTTGCGGAAACGAGAAGAAAACGGACCGTGGGTCTAGTTACGAGTTACGTTTTCCCTTTGGTCTGGAAAACAGGAAACACCGGACGTGGAGAGCTTCGAAGGCCCTGCCGAAAGCGAAGCCGACTCACTTCGTACTCTCCTGCGGGTCGAGCTATTTCCAGCATCGATCCGTTTCGCGGAGAAGAAACATGCGCGTACAACGACGCCCACCGCCGCCCCCGACGCCCCTTAACGCCGTCCTCCCCCCACTTCTGTGCCCCTTCTTCCTCTTTTCCTAACCACCCTTCGCTAGTGATAGCCTTAAAACGCGGACGCGGACGCGAATGTGGTCGCGAACACGTCGCGACTCCACTTCGCGATCGATTCTACCTGTTCCTAATAAACTTCCACCTTTCTTTGGAGTCCTTCTGAACGATCGAACGATGCGAGCTGCTTTCCCAGATCTATGGAAATTTTATTCGAAAGCTTACGTTTCTTCGTAAATTTCTTAACGTTTCTGATCGTAGACTCTCTTACTTATTCACAGGCAACGGTTTCATCGTTAGTACCGACAGTTCGTCTTTTTTACCTAGATCTCTCAGAACCTTATTTGTATTCGTAAACTTCCCAGACGCGCTAGTTCTTTTCTCTCCAATCGTGACCTTTCCTTGTTTTTACATCATTATACTCGTGGTACTTATGGTCGTGAGGCTTGCGCTGAGAACAATTTCGATTATGAATTCTCGGATCTCCGCTTGTTAATTGAAAATATTCAAAGTGTGCCGAGGCCATCACTAGCCGCCTTTCTCCACTTCGCGTTGTCGTGTTGCCCTTTCAGGATGACAAGCCACCTTTCTTTCGATATCAGACGAACAAAAGTGGAATGCTTTCTATAATAAAGGACGGGAAATATCGATGCTTTAGAATAGACTTACGGTGTACACCGCTGACTCCGATGGCGATGGTTCTCACGTCCCGGAGATAAGGTGAGACAACTGTGGATCAGGATGGGACACTGGCAGTAAGGAGCTTCGAGCACTCTTTCAGGGATATTCAAAATGGAAACAATGCGTTCGTGGTACACAGGGATGAATCCTGTACAGTCAGTTTTATTGCTGGAATCGAATAGGATCTCTGCAATTCGTAAAGTCGCGAGCTGTCTGAAAAGGGTTGCAAACGTTCATCGTCGATATCGAAAATGCACCGGCGTTATTTTCTGTTTGTTTTCTTATTGTGCGTTGGGATTTTAAAACGAAAACTTACTACGCAGTAATAACTTTCAATTATTTTCTTCTTTTCTTCGCCTTTTCGTCCCATTCTTATTCGACCGATCGCTCCTTTTCCTAATTAAACTCTTATTCTACGCGTGTCTTCGCTGTCATCGATTTCTGAAAAAAGGTCCAACGATCTTAGCATCAAGCGGCGAGGGAGAGTCAATCGATACTATCGAAAACGATAATCGATCAAGCTGTGAAGTTGACAAGCGACCTTAGAAATATTACAGTAACTTTTATTTAACGGAATATATAACAGAATATGGAGAAAACTGGAAGGGGTGAATCAGTGGCGACACTCTCTGCTTTTTGCAACATCGACAAATATCTCACTCGGATTTGGGATTGAAATCTCGCGATTGTATATATATATATATGTGTGTGTGTGTGTGTGTGTGTATGTATACATATCTGTGTATACATATATGTATACATCTGTGTGTGTATATATATATACATTTATTTATTTATATTTATACCACGATAATTTTTACTCTGTCAGCTATTTACATAATACCTTTGAAAAACAACAACCTGACCGCGAATGAATTCAATCCCATGGCGTATGCTGCTCCAAATGAAACACATCTATCGTATCGTTTCTTTCTTTTCTTCTTCCACTCAAAATATTAATGACCGTTTTCAAATAACCAGCTTCTTTCGTGAAGTTCTTTTTCTTTTCTCTTCTTCTCACGAATTGTCGGTCCATTACATCCTCTACTCGTAATCTATCTAAACCATACAATACATAGTTACCACGTGTTTGAGCTAATTTTAGTCTTTTCTTCTTTTACAATTTTTTTTTTAATGTATCGTGATTAGGCGCTGCGTGCATTACCTTCGCGTCTCGTTATTGCTAATTAAACCGCACGTCATTTGGTTCTTCGTGCTTTATTTTAATATCAGACGAATACGAATCATTAATGAGAACCAATCTCACTGAACAATGCTTCCGATTCCCTATTCCTGTGTCCATAAACGTTGGCAATTCCGTGCATTCCGCTCTATCGTTCCACGGTCGACGTTCCTGCGTCATCGTAAACGATCTACACAACGACTCGATTAATCTAACACATCACAGACTTCTAAACATTATGACCCTACGATACCGACTTTTGAATAATTACTAAACACATTTTTCGTAAAGGAAAATTTCGAGATTCTTCGGAAGATAGTGAGACATTTGTTCGAAAAAGAAAAACAGGGAAAAGTAAGAAAAAAGAATGAAAAGAAAAGTATAAAAGGGAATAAAACGTTTCGAACTTCAGTTCTTTCAGTTTCGTACATTCACGATCTCGAGAAGGAAAAACGGCTGGATAAAACAATAGGCATAAAAATAGCTACCTTGAGAAAGTTAACAACAGTGGTCGATTTTTGATATTCGGTTTTCCTTCGATTCTCACGATACATGTTGTGTATATACCATACGTATATACAAAGCGTTTGCACCTATACATACAGATTTCCTCTTTGAAGTTGTATGTTTATTTTACATAAAATCAATAGATTGTCGAGAAAATACTCGCAGCAACGGTAATAAGTATACACACTTCAAACAGGCATCATTCGAGATCACACTCTGTACATCGTTAACTCATTACCTAGGGAATTCCTAATAATTTTCGGGAATAACGCATAAAGACACCGTACTCGAGCAGTTCATAGATCCAGCTAAAAAAAAAAGAAAAATAAAGAAGAAGAAAGGCTGTCGTCGAGTATTTTGATTGCCCACTTAAAAAATATAATCGTGTACTGACCTTCGTTCGTATCATCTAAACTCACATGTCTTAATCGCTCAAGAAAAAGAGTATGGGTGATGTGATGACAACGAGAATAATAAAAATAATAATTATAACAATAACAATAATAATAATAATAATATTAATAATATTAATAATAATAATAATAGTAATAATAAAAGTAAGAATATTAATATTAGTAGTAGTAGTAATAGTAGTAGTAATAATAATAATATAATAATAATAATAGTAATAATGATAATAATAATAATAATAATAATAGTAATAATGATAATAATAATAACAACAATAAGGATAAGACTAAGATGAAGAATAAAAATAAGAATAAGAATAAGCATAAGAATAAGAATAATAATAATAACGGTAATAACTTCTTATTCATCTTCTCTTTTTTTCTATACAAGTGCACAAATATTTACAGAATCAATATAATGACAGATACGAAGGTGCCGTTGAGCGTGTTTCCTATCTTCCTTTTTCATTTTGCTCTCTGCCTCTCTTTGTTTTGCCTCCTATATTTCCTTCTTATTTTATGCGTCTGTTCTAAATGAAACTGCCAGTTCCTACTAACAGAGACTGCGGACGAATATTTTGGCACATTTCAGTTCTCGTGTCCTTTTCAACACGCGGTCTGATTACTTGGCACAATACTTCGACCATCGTGCGTAATTTCCTAACTTAATTTTTAAATAGTGGACTAAAAAGGTAGCAATTTGTTATCTGTTTTTCGCGTTTCTCTCATCGGAAACATTTTTCCACTGCTAGCTGAGTTTACGACATCGAAATTAAACTACTCTGGAGAAATTTCCATTCTGAACTAAAAAAAACGAACGATCATTAATCGCGATTCCTATTTATTCTCGCTTGAATCTCCTTTTTTTTATATCCTTCTTCTCTTTGGAGTCACGAAACCATGTTTCACTTTAGCGAGGATCTTCGACACGAAGAACACCTTGCATTATTGCTAGTCGCATAAAGAGAATGTATGTGGTTGGTGAATACATGATTGATATGAGGTTCGATGTCGGACAAGAAAAAAGAAAAGTTTAACGGTCGCTCGAAGACAAAAATAAAAAAAGAATCCTAGGGCTTGTCTCTTTCCAAAGTATCTTAAAAATTTGTTTACGTTGGTTCACACACGAGCCTAAATCTATATCGTATTAACGAGGTCTACTTGGATTAGAAGTTATGATTCTTTTCTCTAAACAAACACGAGAGAGTGCCTAGGGCGAACGATGAAACGTTTATGAGTTTCGTCTTCTCCAAATTACTAGTTCACACGAAATTACGGATACGAGGAAACGTGGTTTACGTTAATTGTTAACAACTTGTACAGTCGCGCGAAATATTTTTGACTTAAAAAACTCTACAGTAGGGATATATCTCCCTATGTAGGATTACCGTGAAAATTGTGACAGTGCGAGACGAACGCGAGAAGTCTTTCGATTCTTTGCGAGTGAAAAGGCTGCTGCAGTCCAAGATTTTCCTGATTTTGGTTTTCTTCGCGACTTGGTGTATTCTTGAAAAATCTGGTGATTTCTGAAAGGAGGACGATCTCTTTCAAGATTTACACATCTTTGGGAAACGTTATACATAGTATCTTATGCAAAGTGGTAGCGATTTTTCTTCGGGGCATCTCGTGATACAAATTATGCAGAATGAAACCCTTAGAAAAGTATAGTGTTGCTGGTGCGCTGAAAAACAAGCGCCACGCCAGTCGGTCAAAGGATTTCTCAAGATTCGACTCTAGAAACGAAGATGCCGATGTTCGCGTTGCAATTTATTTTGTATGGTGCTAGAGCTTGGGAGTCGAGGAACGAAAAATCACAACAAGACGCTCTCTAAAATGCTTGTTGACGACGATCTTCGAATATCAGATGGCACCAATTACGACACGGAAGACTACACCAAACCAGCGGTACTTAGAGTACGATAGCCTGGCAAGGAGTTTAATTACGCGCACGTACGAAACGTAAAATTGTATAACAGGCACCAGTAAAAGAACCAGTTCTTGGAAGTAATTCCGGTCAGACTTTAAAGCCGATTACTGGCCTTTCACTACTCATTACAGCGAAATCTGGCTTGGCGTTTCGAAAGCCTTACTCCGTTGTTTATTGAACCCAAGATGCAGGTACCCATTGAGGCTCCCTCTCTAGCGAATTGATTTCCGTCAGCAATTGATTGTACGCTCGATCTGTATCCGTATTTATGATGATCATGTCGAATAGATGACCGTATTTGTCCTCCATTTCCCGCGCTTTCTCTATAATGTCCTTCAGTTCCTCTTCTTTGAAGCTTTCGTTATTCTTGATCCTCTTTTGCCGAAGTTTCTCTAAGCTCGGTGGCGCCACGAGCACTACGTAAGGTTTCAAGTCCGAATTTCGAAGAATCTTCAGGCTTTGCGGATGGAGATTAAGAACACAGATTTTACCGGAATTTACAACAGATCGTATAGCCTCTACAGAGGTGCCATAATAGGCTTTCTCATATTCGCCATGTTCGACGAACTTCCGACAGAGAATATCAGACTCGAATTGAGAACGAGAAATGAAATGATAGTCTTGTCCATCTACTTCGGAATCCTTCCTGGGACGACTCGTATCTAAAAGAACCAGTATCGCAGCTTGCTGTATATCATTATCATCGGAAAAGAAAAAAATGATTCGTATATTAAAACTTTCAAAGACTCACGAGGAATTGCCGCTGCAAAACGTTCGCTATCTTGCATCAGCCTCTGCCTGAGCTCGTGTCGTCCAATATTTGGTGGCCCTATTAGTACTATTGGTCTTTTGTGATTCGCCCTCGGATAGTACAACGCGACTTCCTCATACGTAAGCACCTCCTCGCTGTCGTAATCTAAGAAATGTAAATGTTTGATTAGCAAACAACAGGTGAATGTACTAAGGTACCTTCCATAATCTTTTCCATATGTACCGTCGATGGCAGTCGTTGCATAATGTGGATACCCGTCATCATTGTAATTCGCTCCGAACTTATTTCGTTTCTTTTTCTTTGGATTTTTTCTAGCGCATAATAACGTACTCGATTTCTTGGAACCGCGTACGGTGGATTTGTCGCCCGCAATTGTCTGCTTCATGGACTCTCGCCTACATAAAATCGATAGGATCAAACAATGTTTAAAAGAAGTTCACAAATAACAGAGGCAATCAACATACTGGTGCTGGAAAGCTTTGCTAGGTATCAAACCAGCCAGAGTTTGATCCTCTTCGCCCTCTCGATACGCCTGCCACCAGTTAGGATCTTCTTGAGAGATGACGTGCAACACATCCCCCTTTTGAAAACTGACACCCAACTCTCGACAAGGAATATAAGGATCTTCTTCCGGGTCATAGTCGAAATGGGCTCGTATGTGCTGTATCTAAGTATAAGGTATTAAGGAATTAGGTCAACACCACACTACCCTTATTTATATTCCCTGTTAATACAACAATCAATTTCAATACCTGGTTTGTATCTTCCCTTCTATTCGACAAATTGTTCCTATGACTCGTGGGTGCCGGGAGTACGAGGAAAGTTAGGCTGCCTTGCATACCAGACAAGATATCGCACACCTCATTCACGCTCTTACCGCGCATTTCCACGCCGTTCACTTCGAGAACTTCATCACCTTCGTGTAGCAATCCGGATTTGTCTGCAGCACCTCCTCGTACAACACGACCTTTAAAGATAATTAAAGATATCAGTCATAAAATTCGGTGGAATATCATCAGTTCACTATTATTCTTGAAGAATTCACTACCTATTATAACAGCATCGCCTTCATTTTTAACCGTAGCACCTAAAGGTTCGTTAGTCTTCTCGATTCTGATAATTTTTATATTGTCTACCACCCGAGACCCTCTCCAGCTAGAAGTCGGACTAGGAGGACCGCTCGGTGACGAAGATGAGGGACTTTGTTTTCTTTGTAATCCTTCGACGTACGAAATGATAGAATCGTGAGCGAGCAGCAGTGCTTCCATATCGTAGTTCGTCAAAATTCCGGTCAACTCCTCCACGGCAGCAATCGTTTCCGCTCCGCCGACACCTGTTGCCGTCGACGAGGACTGCCATTTCTCCAGAATGTCCACACACTGAAATATTCGCAACACGCAACAAAGGCTGTATACTTGATGGTACAATTAGGATTCTTAAAATTTCAACAACAGATAAGTTACATACGTCTCGAGTTAAACTGGAAGCGTCCTCGGCGTGATGTTTCAAAACCTTGTTGGATCTTAAGCGATTTCTAAGGGCATGATGGGTGGCGAGTGCAGATGCGAACCGACTTTGCACCAAAAGCGTTCGCACTGCTTCCAGTTCAGCTTCCACACCCGGTCCCGAGATGCCTAGAGCACCGGAAATATTGCGCAACTGAAGCTGTAGCCTCTCCAACGTCGCGACGACCTCTCCATACGCTGAAATATGCAACAGACGTCAATCGAGAAGATTCTTCAAAAGTTTCACCCGTAAGGCAACGTTGCTTTCCGTCGTGAGTTTATTACTATGAAAAATGGTAAATGACCGGCTAATAGCTTTCTTCAAAGAAACATATACGACTCACTGATTACACGACAACGACCAACATCGTTGATTTATTAAGTCATCGAAACAGCGAATGCAAAGCACATGGGTGGCCGTGTATCGTTTGAAGAAGTCTGAAGAAGGCTGGATTAAAAAGGGAACCGACGAGGAATTATCGTAGCATAAATAGGGGCCTAATGGCCTACGACGAGTGTCGTTAGTGCGCCATCCAGTGAAGTGGCCCTCGAACAGACGTATTTCTCGAGGGAAAATGCGACTTACTGAGGGGCCTGGGAGGCTCCTCGACTTCTTGCGCTGCGCTCACGGTAACGTGCGTTGCGCGTCCAACGGTTGTCACCTCATCTTGGGCGTACGCCGGATTTTCTTGACCCGAGAGACTGGTAGCATGGCTCTCCAACGCCTGGAGCTTTCTCGAGCCGCGCAGTGATCTATTGAGTATCTCTTGTCTCTCCTCCTCATCCTTCCTTTTCCGCAGTTGCTCCTACAATCAAATCATTCGTTTAATTCTATTCTCCTCCATCCAAGTTGAAACGAGATTCAACGATTTTGTGAAAACCCTGCAAACATTCGATTGAATTACATATGTAAAGAAAAGCGACACGTTGTTTGTTCTCACGATGACGTCGAACATTATTGAGATGGAATCAGTAACGTTATCTTTGCGTTCGATTCAATCCTAATCGATCTTCGGACAAATTTAATTGCCTTACCTCGTTCGTCATACGACGTAGTTTGGTGTAATTTAGGAAACGTTCGTAAATACGGTGTTGTGTAACATTGAACATCGAGAATGAAGAAAAGGTGGGACATTTATATATGGGACATGTATTCCGGAGTCCCGGAGTACTATATTGAAATCGTGCCTTTGCGGTTGCCTTATCAATTATTCCTCGACCCGGCTGTATCCTCAGAGTAATTTTAGCTGGGACAAGCCACGATTCATGCAGGACCTACCTCGTGTAGGCTGACCTTCCGAGCAACCGTTTTTCTCCTAACAATGATACATTTTTAACAACACAGACGCTGAGAGGCAGCTGAAGTATCCATGAAACAGAGAACATTCTATCTAACATCAAGCAATTATTCTAACTCGATCTTGACACCATCAGCAAATGGACGTTGGCATCGATGATGGCACAAGCCAGTGAAATGTGATTTGCGCGAAAATTATTTGCTTAACCCTTTGCACTCGACGATTTTTTGGCTAAAGAAGAGTAGGAGTTCGAAGATTTTCTGCTACAAAGCTGACGATATTTTTTTGAGCAGTAAATAAGAAATCGTATAGTAACTAATACGCAGAATTATTTGATTTCGATACCTCATACACTGTTATATTATTTTAAATTTGATATATTAATTAATATGGAGCTTCGAAATTTTATCAAATGGCGACTAAAGGGCGCGTCTCGAGTGCAAAGGGTTAAAATAGCGATGGAATCGTGCAGATGAATGGACACGAGTACTGCATCGTTGTCTCGCAAACATTTGCTCCAAAGCGAAAATCTCAGCGGCTCGACTGCAAGTTGCTGGGCTCGGGTTACAATCGCTGTGGTATCAGCGAGTTCTACGCTCGTTTGGCGATCAGTGATCAACGCCCACCGAGTGATAAACTGCGTCGCTGACGCAAAAATCATTCCAGAAACGATCCATTTATGTAACGATCCAGCCATGTCTATGGCGCATTATTGCCTCGAGCAAAAATACTTGGGCGAAGCCCTGTTTACTCTCGCGGTGCACGCGTATGGCTTCCCGAACGTCAGCTCTTGACTATTCGTTGGATTTCTTGTAATTCTGGTAGCAAAAGCTCACTAGAAAATCGAGTAAACATCGTCACGCTGGGTCCCAGCTTAAGTCGATCCAAATCTCTACCACGTAGTCTTCAATGGCCGTGGCTACGTGGCCCAAAGTTAACGCAGAGCTAACTATCTGTGCCTGAAAAACAAGGCTATTAGCGGTGATAAAAATAGGATTCCACGCTGTTTAATAACATCCAAGGTTTCTTACGATAATTCCCAATTTCAACAACAGGCAAACATCAAAATGGTGTAATATTTTATCCAACGTTGAAATGTCTAACTCGAATATATACCAGAAAATCTTATTCATACATCCATATACAGTGAATTACTTCAAATCGTTATTATTATCCCATGATAATTTCCAAATCTTTATCAACGAAAACGTGTATTATATCGAACAAAACTACATGACAAGATAACCTAATCTGCGCGGTAAAAGAATACCAACCGTGCAAAATGGACGACTGAAGTCAACTGAAGGATAAAAATGGATGACAACGCAGGTCAAATATGAGCCACCTTCGTCGGCTACATGACCGCTAAACTCGAGATTAAATTTTAATCTTCACCTGCTTTTTATCCGCCTACCGATCGCATCAAAAATCGAGGCGGATAGATGAGAAAAGAGGAGCAAGTTTCTCAACGGAGACCGCTCGTTTCTAGGAAGGAAGAATCGTAGGACAGCGAGGGCTGGAATTCTCTCGAGTCACAGCGAATATAATATCGTCGAAATTACGGGAGGATGGCTTGTTATCGTTCAGCGGCACGAATGTTCCCGGTTCGGAGACGTGGCATTCGAGTATCTGGTTTTTAACGAGCGGGAGAGAGGTGGAAGAAAAAATCCAGCTTCCCAGTAAAGAGGCAGGAAAGCAAAGACCGAGGTCAGGATAGGGAAAAAGGGCGGGGAAAAGAAAGAGGGAGAACGACGAACTGCCTGACTCAACCATAGACTATACACCTATCGAAACTTACTCGTAACGTTACACTCGAGCCGTGTAATCTTAGACTATTGTGCGTGCGGGGTTCTTTACATTCCAGACCACACTTGACTTAACGTGGAGAAGACGAGGAGGGAATTTTATAAGCCAAACATTGTCGGCGTCGAGACGCAGCTCTTCTACCATTTCTCATCCAAATTAGACAACTTAACCGCTTTTAACTTTTCCACGGATACCACGATTCTATATCACACTTCTATTTATCACGAATACCTTTTTTATTTGTTAAATCACGACATGCATTTATTGGTTAAATTTTATTTCCTCTTATTTCCCTTTTCTTTTTGAGGTTAGTTATCATAATGACGTAATAAAACTATAGCGAACTGTAAAACTGCAGCGAACCGTGGAACAATAAATGGCGTGAAATAGGAAAAAAGTTACGAAGGCAATCAAAGCGAACTCTATTCGATAATCTAAATTAATTTTATCTAAAATTTTTATCGAGATTGAATGCTCTTTTATAGAAATTACGATATCGATTAATTTTTTTGAATTTCTTTCGCCTTTTGTAGTTGATTTGATTAACGTAGTGCGATTGTACGACGGTTAATTTGGTAGAATCGCGCAAGGTTACGAGAACAGTGGCGCAATAGGTGGCGCGAAATAGGAAACACGAAGAGTATAAAAGCAATCGAAGCGGACTGTGTTCGATAACCATTGTGTCCAGGGCCCTCGTAATTTCCTGTTAGAACGTAGACAGCCGTGGTACGTCCCCTTGAACAACGATTCAACGTTCGCTGCCTTTACATCGTTACACAACGCTAAATTATTCATGCAGAATACCACGCGTTTCCCGCGTCCGATACTTTTCGCGCACACCCACCGAAATGCCTCTCAGCCAACGTTCCAATTATTCTTTGTCGACACGTTTAATATGCAAAATCACGTGACTCTTGGTCAACAACGAGGATTCCATTGGAACGCGAAACAATTAAACGATACGCGAGTTATTTGTATAGTAACTCGAGGCGAGATACGATTTCCTCGAAGGCCTTTAACAAATTCGAAGTAGGTGACTCGATACGATACCCGGACAATTTGCTCGATTAAATTTATCCGTCGCTTTCATAATTCGTAAATAATAAAAGAACGTTGAATTCAAACGTAGGTCTAACATCCATCGCTAATTCCGCGTTGAATTATTCACCGATTTCTATCGCGCGAAACGTTGAGGTATTCGAAGCAGAAACGAGCAAAGATGTAAGCGCGATATCTGTCGAAAGGAGGCGGTCGAACGAGACGAACGAGAAAGGTGCTTTTCGAAGAAGAAAAAACAAAGGAGAGAAAAAATGGTAAAAAAAAAGGAAAAGGCTCGCCGTACCTGGTATTTCCTGATGGAATGCAGTTGTTGTTGCGTAGGCTCGGCGTTTGCGTTATCGGTGCTCTCCACATTATTGTTCTGCGTGGACAAACGTAGGTTATCTTTCGGCGGTCTGGCAGGTGCCCTCTTTTGATCTCTCGGAGGAATGGCAGGTTTCACCCCGTTCAGACCGGCCTAGAAATCCGTTTCAAACAAAACACAGCTCGCATTAAAGTATCCACGTCAGAGGTCGCCGCAAATGCGACTAACCAAACTTTTCCACGGTTCCCTCGTATTTTCTCCGTATTATTTCCTCGTCTTGTTCTCTATTACAATAGTTTCCCGTTCGCGTTTCGAAACGAAGTCTATTGCGAGTCCTTTGAACATGTGTTCTTTCTTGACTACGCGGAAGCATAGAGTGTATCGTTTAGGTGAGAAAAGCGAAGAGATGCGAGAAAGAAAAGGAGGAACAGCCAGGGCACGTGCACTACGAGGTGTACCAGCTATGACTAGGCAAGGTGTTCACAATGGGTTTGTCTACTTTGGCATGCTCGTCAACTCTAAGCGTACGTTCTGCATGCACTGCAATCGCTCATTCGTCGCGCGAACACGGTCGATGCTCTCGCGACTTTTATACGTTGCGATTGGAACCTTAACCTCACCGGTGAGGACGCGCTCGTTTTCTGCGTATCTTCATTCGACGGCCACGAACAAGCGTGGCGCTGTAATCGCGTAACACGTGTATTAATAATTATCAATGTTGTTAAACTATCAAGGTGTATAATTTATGATTATTTAAACCTACTAAATTCGCTCCTAACGATATACCCGGAACGATTAAACAGTGGGACATGTAAACACGACACTAGGCGTACTCGTACTAAACAGTTAAGTAAATCTAATAGGGTAAAAACATATTACAAATAGCCATTGCCAATGAATTTTGTTACGAAGATATAAACAACGTATTAGGTTATGTCATCGCGACGATGTATTAATTGTAAAATTTTACAGACACGAGAACATTAATGTGTTCGTTTCGACGATGAGAGATGCAGAAAGATCAAAGCAAAGTTTACCTGATGCTCGCCAAGATCGCCGAGGTGCTCGTACAAGTTGTACGTACGTTTCTTCGTGACATCCGTGGACGGTTTCGTCGCGTTCGGCATTC